GTTTATCCTTCTTAAAATGATTTTTCCCTCTACACACTTCCTTTTATTTCATTTATGTAGTGTGCATAATATGCAGGATGGCTCTAAACACTTAACAGAAATGATCTAATTTAATCCTCACAACAAACCACAAGATAAATACTATTATTATCCTCACATATAAAAGGTTTAGTTAGTAGTGGCACAGCCAGGATTTGGGCCTATGTGGTCAAGCTTAAATTGAAGTTTAATCACAAGGCTGAACTTCTTTCTGTTAGTTGATAAGGTGGAATGACAAAAAAAATGTGAATTATGTATAAATGGTTCATTAGTTTAATATGTTAAAAATATTATTCAACATCCTAACATCCTTTGTTATTTAGATATTAAAATGAATGAGAAGGTCTGAGAAGACTGTATAAGTCCAGAGTATGATGAGAAATGAAATAGAGAAAAAAGACCAAGGATAATGTTGCTAATTCAAATAGGAAAAAATAAATAAATTCAGTGAATAACATGGAGAAGTGGTCTCTGACTTTAACAAAAGAAAGGCCCAGTAGTATATTCATCAGTACACTGAAGTTTGAAAAGTTAGAATCTATGCCTTATGTTTTCTCCCCTGTGTTGCTTATAACCTTTTTCTTATGAATTCTCTCTTCCATTTTACATATAAAATCTCCTAAGTGATCTCTCCTATTCAGATTTTTAAAGTGATTGCCCAGGCTGTATATATGATATAGTCATGGTCTAACCTACAGAAATAGATTCATGATTGAGTTCTTGCCTAACATTAGACCTATATTTCTATTTCCTGACTTTAGTGCATTTTATGAAAATGTGAAATTACAATATGAGTAATTTTCAGAACAGAATTTAATTCTCTTACATTTATGACCTTTACACAAAGTTATCTTTTTACTTGACTGGCATCTTCACCTGGGGACTCCTATTGGCATCTCCTCTTCCCTAATTATATGAAAAATATTGTCTTTTTGACCACTGACTATTATCCTTCAGTCATCTGTCCTCTATAAAGACTTTCTTGACTTACAAATTAATTTCTGCTGCACTTTTTTTGGGAAATAAAAGCGGGTTCTATTAATAATTTCATACAAATGGTGAGTTCACACTGGCTTGTGAGATTCAGTTACTAAATTTTAAAGTTTTGGGAGCTGGTTGTTAAGCCATTTACTTGAAATTGACCACAGTGTTATATCATACAAATATACAAACATAGCACATCGTTTTCTTTTCTTTTTCCTTTTTTTTTTTTTTTTTGGAGAGCTATCTATTGTTTTTCAGACATGAATATAAAACACTAGTATGCTAGGTAAAGCATAGGCAAGCATTTAAGATGATGTCATGTTTTTCAACTTTTTACCTATCTTATAGGAAACTGTTTTATCAGACTGAAAAATGTTTCCTAGTACCTAGAAATTCAAGGGGGGAAAACACCCCAATCAAATCTGTATTCTGAAGAATTAAGTTTGTGCTTATGTACTCCATCATCAACAAACCTCACAGTATAGAGCTGTGAAAATTGCAGACCTTTACAACTTGGTTGTTGATTAATGATTTAATTAAAGTAGGATTAATATAAATCTATTGGCAAGAAAGAATGCTACTGAAAGTTGGAAATATTCTGGCAATCTACCCTTCTAGCAGTCACTGTAGAAGGTGATAATAATAGAGTGACAGTCACCAACTTCAACACTTGAAGATCTTCTGGAGGAAAGGCTGATGTTTGCAAGCTCTGCAAGAATAAATTGAGAAGCAAAGGAATAATTTTAATGACTACAATGTATCATATGGTGTGCTTTTTTAATGTGACTCAGGAAAAAATTCTCTCAGATCTTGGCAATATACAAAGTTAAATTCTCTTAAGTAATTGCTTTTTTTAACTTTATGTACTCTATGAATGTTGGACTCAATCCTATTTTATTTTTTGATCTGACAAAAGAGAGATCAGAGCTTTATTTGTGTCCTAAATAACTAATGTATGGAAGGATGTACACATAAATCTGGGTGCTAATCTAAACCCTCTGTTTACTCTTCTCCCATCTTCATTTCTCTTTCATCACACCCTTTTAACCTGATTTCTCCTCCTGTGGACTATGTATTTTAGTAGCATTCTTGTTTTGTAATGGGTTACAAATAAATAACACAGACAGGAAATGGCACCGACTTGGTTCTTTAAAACAGTTGCACATGGAAATCTTGATTGTTTCAAAGGAATACTATGTTCATCATTCTAGTTTCTGCTAAAAAAAAGTTCTAGGACACTTATATTAAAACTAATTTTTGTAGTTATGAAAATTGAAACAGAGTTTGAAATCTCATCAGTGTAATCTAGAAACAAAGGAATTATAAAGCTAAGATTTATTCTCAAGTTTCCACTACAGTTACAAACATTAGGAAAGGAATGCATAATGACCTAGTGATGACTCAGAACCCAAATTATTTCAGCCCTGAATATTTCAGCCCTCGTCAAAATTCTTAGCAAGAATGTGGTATTAACTGAATGATCCTATTTAGATACTCATTTCTAGTCTACACTTATTACTCACCAGGTAACTTATGAGAATTATATCCCATTACATGTATTGGTATAAATAAATCTTTAAAATAATTTAAAAAGGCACTTAGTATGCTTACCTTACTTTTAAAAGTCATACTTTTATGGCACCTGGAATATATAATTTTAGGTTCTTCTAACTCAAAAAATTAAAACCTGTCTTAATTTTATATTAATTTATATATGTAAATGTATTTATACCTCTGAAAACAATGCACTATCTTATGTGGGAATAGAATGAATAAAATATCTTAGTATTTACATTATGAATAAAATATGTAAGTATTGTATGTAAAAACAATATTTTGAGATTAATGCACTATTATATTCATGAATTTAATATATTACTAAAGTAATGTAAATGTATGTAGACTTTGTTTTTTATCATTCATTTAAGCCTGCCCAAATTCTCCTTTTTTCCACCCTCATTATACTATAACTGCTATTTTTGTAAGAGTAGAGAATTCTGAATTCCTTGTAGGATATGGCAAGGCAAAGAAATCTTACAGGGAATAAAAAGTAAATGGGTTAAAGTCAAAAAGAGTCATGAAGATTTGACATTTCCAAAACTTCTGAATGGGCTCATTTATGCAAATGATGCTGTTGCAATTAGGAAGAAAGAACAGCTCAACATCAGCTAGAGTTTGATAAATATCTTGTCTCTTTCATACCACACATCAAAAAATCTTTGTTAATTTGATACATTATCATCATCATCATCATTATTTTTCAGTTCCAGGGACTGAACCCAGGGGTGCCTAAACCACTGAGCCATATCCAAGCCCTTTTTATTTTTATTTTGAGAGATACAGCATCACTACTTTGCATAGGGCTTTACTAAGTTGCTGTGACTATATTTGAACTTACAATCCTCCTTCTTCATCCTCCTGAGTAGCTGGCAGTACAGGCATGTACCACCACAACTTTAAAGGTATATTTAAGGTGTTTAAGTTGAAATGTGTTATATCTGATGACAGGTGTCAAAGCATTCTGCTGGATCACAGATACAAAGTCCCCAAACAGTCCTCCTTGTAGCCTACCTTCTCACAGTGCTTTTTAGCAGTGCTTTTCTTATTTTAAATTGATCAGAGTCATAATGAAGAAGGAGGACGAGGAGGAGGAGGAGGAAGAGGAGGAGGAGGAGGAGGAGGAGGGCAGGGGAAGGGGAATGGGGAAGGGGGAGAAGGTAGAAGAGAGGGAGGAGAGGGAGGAGGAGGAAAAAACTATAGGTTCCTTTTATTTCTCTTTAAAGGCATATACCTTTATTAGTCCCATAGAAGAAAAATAATATTTTCTTATAACTTAAATTATCTACTATATGAATTGGTTAATGAAATCTACATTAGCCATTTAGGTAAAATATAAAAATGTGGGCAAATCTGTGAAAGACAATTCACGGTAAATTCATAACCTTTTCTTTTTATATATCATCAAAGAGCCAGCAAATACATGCTTAGATTAAATATCTGTTTTATTTCTTTGCCTTGGAGATGTCTATATTGTCATTTTCCAATGAGATGAATGTTAAAATGGTTGACACAATAGGACATATTATAAAATGGTAGGGTAAGAACTCATTCACTCTATTTAATAAAATATTTTTGCTAAATTTATTCAAGGAGGTGTGCTGGCATTGGAAATATATGGATAAACAAAATTCTGTTCTACAATAGGTACAACAAAAGGGTAAAATGGCAAAAATTCTCTTTGTTTAAAATGGTTTAAGATTATTTATTTTAAAAGACAATTGAAATTGTTGTGTCATCACCAGTATTGGGAAGATAGAGCTGCATGTATCTAGGAAAGGGAGCTCACATTTCAGACATATATATATATATATATATATATATATATATATCTTCATCAGCTTAATACAGTTATGCTCTCATTTAGCATTTCTATGAACATAATTGACTGAATGTATGCAGTATTTACTTGATTATAAAATGTTTCTATGAATAAATAGGGTGTTAGAAAGCACATTCTCACTTTCTAGGACTTGGTGGCTTAAGTACATGAGTGAAATGGAAAAAGAATAGAATAGTTAGAAGCTTTAAAATATACTTCTAAACATAATAAGGTAAGAATATACAGAGAAGGCTTTTCTTTTTATTGTGAAACTGAAACACAAAACAATGGTTACTGATTTTATCCATCTGACACAATAATGAGGAATCATTTTTTTCAAATGCAAATTTATTTTTGAAACATTGTGTAATGCATTTTTAACTTAAACTTTCTAATCCATATTCTTTATGTAATAACATAATATTTGTTAAGGAAGAACCGGTGTTTAGATAAAGAAATTGAGGAAGCAGTGGGTAGGCTAATAATTTTTCAAACTATAGACAATGTTCAATTCTTTCATACATGTGCTTAACTTACCATAAACTTAAAATCGGTTATAATGAAAAAAAGTACCAATCCAAAACGAAAGATTGTGATTATAAAGATCAAGGCCAATTAATGAAAAAACACAATTAAAAGGTAAAACAAATTCACATATCATTTGAAAATAGGGAGACATTATCAATAAAAATAGAGGTCCTCAATACTATTTTGAACCTATCCCTCGGCCTTATCGTTGTGTTATTTGCAGGCACCTATAGGCATCTGCCCTGAGAATAGATTATTAGCACTTTCTGCCTATTTTACTTAGCTAATTGAAGTGGTATATAAGACCCACTTATGGTATAAAGTGCAGACTTTGAATGAAGAAGAACAAGAGAAAAAGCAAGAATTATGAAATAACAGAAAAAAGTATCTTCCTTCAAGAATCAATAGTCAATTATTTCTGACTCTACAATACATAAATGTTATTAACAGTTCTTTAATAGTAACCACCATGACCATCTGGAAGAACCTACTTATGGTAAGTAACATGATTTAACATCCCTGTTACAATTTGGTTTAATAACATGAGCAACATATAACATAAAATTCAAGGCAAACTTTTTTCATGTATTCAACAAAGATGCTTTTGGCCAACCTATAGTTGCAATTCTATGACAGCTGTCAGGAATATTAATTAATAGAAAAGATAAGTCTAGAAACAAGGTCAACAAATATGACTTGATGGTTATTGTGTGACAAATGACTGTGTCACCTTGATAAGATATACTCCTTCTTCCTCACCTATTCTTTAATGCCCATAAGACCTCCTGAAATCAATGGTTTTAGCAATATTGTTCTTATATCAGTCTACTCTCATCAGTGATGATCTGCTATTTCTTTTGCATTATTGAAAGCTGGGCTGATTAAAACTAAAATGAATTCCTATGCCCTTCTAGGAAAAATAACCATAAATTTCCTTATAAATATTTACATAGAAAGGTCATTTATATGAATTATTCTTAAGATTAAACATACTTGATAATTTCCCCTGTGTTCCACAATTTTAATCCTGAGTCAAGGATTTATAAAATAGTGAGAGTTTTATCAAAGTAACTATTCAAATGGTCCAGATTTATTTAGTTAGTATTAATTTCGCTGCCCTCCATCCTTTCCCCCAAATATACTGACCAAATATTTTATTTGGTTGATCTGGGTAAATACTGTTTATTTTTGCACTATCTCCAGTAAGGTATAGATTAACTTCATGATCAATTTTACTAAAACGATCATTTCAAAAGTGTTGAAATATTTATGATTAAATAGCTTATAATATTTGCCTATTTTCTTGTAAAAAGTATGCCAGAAAATACAATGGCATCTCATTTGTCAGGATATTAGTCTTCTACCAACATCATATTTCCAGAACAATGTCCAGATTCCAACAGTGATCAAAGAATGCTTCTGAGAATCACACAGCTTTTGCCCAAATCTACATACCTTATCCCTATATCAGACTTAATAAATTTTTAAATAACAGTAAACAAGAATAAAACACAATCTCTCCCACCAGTATATTAGAAATTGCAACTAGAAGAAAATTTTTGAGAAAAGAATAGCAACAAGTTAAATTTTATAGCCAAAATTTGAAGGAAAAAATATGTAAAGCTATATGGAGAGAATATTTGGAATACTGGTTGAGATGACCTTGGAACAGAAAACAAAAAATACTAAGTTATATTCAGTGATCTGATTGGGCTCATAGGGAGACAAGATATGCTTAATCTAACTTCTACATAAACTATTTTATAGTAAAAACAATTGTTTTGGTGATTGAACAAGTAAGCCCTGGAGTTCAATAGTACAGATCATTGGTTCACAAAATTCAATGTGCATTCAAATCACCTTAGGATCTTGTGAAAATGTGGATTCTTGTTTGAGAGGCCTGGGGTGGGGGCATGATTCTATATTTCTAACAAGCTTCTATTAATGTTTATAGTTTTTCTAACAAGGGTGTAAAAATGCATTGATTTCCAATTAAATTAGATAAATGAGATATTATTGTATTTGTCTTCAAATACTTTTGAAAATCTGAAATGAAAGCATACTAGTAAAATATGTTGGCACATTTATGTAATACACTTTGGAAATAAGGAAATTGTATTTTAAAGTGTGAAAAAATGTAAGAGGGGTATAAATAATAATGCATTATTCAATCCTTCAACCATACACTAAGCATGCATGAAGTAATGTAAATGAAATCTGTGCAAAATTTGAGGTGAGCTATATCTCTATCATACTAAGTCATAGTCAATAGAATTCTGAATTCTCTTAAACTATATTATTTCATCTTTCTACATCTGGAGGGTATGCAACACACAAGGCAAGTTTTTCTAAAAGAATAATTTATTGTAGTTTCTATTAATGGTAAAACTCTGTGCTTTGTTCAGTGGTGAAAAATGAACAACTTTTCTTTGATTTAAAAAAAATGCCCAGGCAATCATTTTCTGGCTCTGAAATACAGGCACATAAATATGTGAATCAAAATAGTCTATAAATAAACCAGAGCTGGGAGAAGTTAAATATAATAATGCATTTGAAGTTATGGATTTATAGCCTTTGTAGGCATTTCACATATTATATAAATTTGCGACTCTGCCAAATTCTTTTCTGCTGGGTTCATAAAATATTCATGTCCAGTGACATTAATGTGAGACTTTTCTGGCCTTACCATGACTTCCACACTGAAATTGTGGTTCTAGATGCAATATTGCCTATTTGACCTTTGCCACTTCTCAGTAAGCTTTTACTGAGGATGAGAGACTGTTTTGTTGCTCCAATTATTTAATTTCCGGTAGCTAAACCAAATGATCTACAAAGTATAATATGGATAATGTATTTTTAGGGGGAACAAAGTAAAATTGTAAATTAAATTTTTTAAAAAAGACATGACCTGGAGTGTTCCATGTTTCTTCAAAGTTGTATATGTGTGTATGTGTGTGTGTGTGTGTGTGTGTGTGTGTGTGTGTGTGTAAAAATCTGTAAAACTTTAAAATGGATAATAAGAAAAGTAAACCATGATTCAGAATAATTTACAGGTGATTTTCACCTTTACTACTTTCCTTTAAAAAATAAAAACGGGATAATATAGACAACAATTGTACAAACCTGTTACCTACAAAAATCCTCTAATATTTTCCCCATTTGCCTATAGAAAATAAAATTATATGTACTGAAAAATGTGTTGTGAAGTTAGAAATGAAGCACAATTTGTGTTAATTAACAAAATATGATTACTTAGTAAATTATGTGTTTATTAAAATGAAAAATAATTCAAAAGTCAACAAAATAGCTAAATGTTTGAATGATGTGTTTTTAGTGAATCGATTCTGTCCAAAAAGATTTTCTGGGAAAAACAATTAATTGATACAAATGTGAGTGCAAATCTGTATTTTTTTAATTTTAAAGCATATTATTCAAAGTTTTAGCTTTTGTGCATGATGTAAATCCCATACATTGTTTTCTCAGTGACAATAAAAAGCATAGTTCATTAAAAACTGAAGTAAAAATTAAAAAAACTTTTAAAAAATCAGTCACAGTTTTGTCATTGGTATATGGAGGTTGTTCCAGGGACCCATCCAAAGCTCTTCATCATCTGACTGTGTGTGGTCACTATGGAATTCCAAAGTCTCCTTGATGTTTTTATTGTCAACCATGGACTCCTGTTCCACTGTGCTTTTCAGCCTGTTCCCCAATGACTTTGCTGCTGTACTGTCAGTTACCACGGGGCAAGGGGCAAAGGTAACCAGCGTTGGTCTTTTGTTCATTTTCTCAGTAGAAAATGGCCCCCTTGACAACGTGTTCAGAGGTACACTCTCCTCATGTGTCACTGCCAACTTCTCTAATTTCTTAAAGTGCCTCCCCTGACGGACAGGGGAAGTAACTTTCAAGTTATCAGTGAGGCAGGCACGGCGGGTTCTCACCACAGAACCATTCTGTGCAATATATATATTGCCATTGATATTACTGTGGATCTTAGCATTGTGAAGACGGTTTCTCTGACATTCCGGAGCACTGTCTTCTCCAGTTGAACTAGTTTCATATTCTCGATCAACAACTAACTTGATCATTCTCTTTCTTGCCCACTGACAAAATAAAAGGAAAAAAAAGTGTTAGTCATTATCAAAGGAGTGAAAGAGACAAAGAACACAATGCCTGTGAAACTTTAAAAAGTGTTATGTAGAAAGTTATCAAATGTAAATAAGTCAAGAGGGGTACAAGGAAGCAACTCTTTATTCACCTCAGTTTAGTTTCACAAATGCTTGATTGGCTTCACAACATGATACATTTGAATAAAGTGTTGCTGAGCTAGGAAGCAGACATTCCAGGAAACACATGCTCTTAGATCAAATTACTATTCTACATGAAAAGAAAACTGTATTATTTATATTTAACTTAGGAACTAATCCATTGTTTTGTAGTTGCCTTACTATTCAGGAAAGTTAAATTGGAAGCATTGAACAGCAGTAGATTATTCCATTCATGTTAAAGTTTCTATTCCCCATATTTGAAAAATGGTTTTTAAATCCAAAGTTGCTAATTTATTCAATGCCTGCTAATTTATTCAATGCCGTTAGCCAAAATTTTGTATGTTTAATGCATTCATTCACTTGAAATGTCCTGGTTTTCTGGGTCATTCCATTCAGATCTTTGTTAACTTAGAAAATATATTCCCAGATTACATAATTTATTTAGTATTAGTACACAAATTATTCAATAGTACATAAAACTGAAAGCCAATTATTCTAAACTTTCCTTTGGCAAGCAACGGAAACACAATGGAAATTTTCACCAATTATTTGTCTCTTTCCAATTAACATTAGAAAGGGCAAAGGGCAAAGGTTGAACTGGTCTATATCATTTTCTCAAAGAAGCCTTATTACATTTTTGGACTAGGTGAACTATCAATGCTTGGCACTGAGTCAGTCTATTTCAAAATTATTATGTTTACTTGCTCAGATAAAACAATATTATGACTCCTACAATATGGTTTTAAACAATCCAGTTCAGAATAATGATGTTAACATTCGATTTTTCATATGTTATCTTATTTAACTTCTAACATTTGAAAGTGGCAGTTACAAACCATCTCTCCATGTAGCTATTTGATCCATTCCAACAGATTATGTATCAATCTATTCTTATCTCTATATAAAATTCATTCCAACAGAGAGGTGTCACTGATAACACATAATGCCATATTGCATAATAAAAATCCTGCTGAAAAATAGTAAGCATTGATTAGCTGATTACATGTGTTCCTATTTACTAGTATAGGAAATATTAGTGGGTTTTAATCTAACATAGTCTAATATACCAATTTCTTTGGATATCATGTATCGCTTTTCTGGCAAGCTTCTGATCTTAAGTCAGATCAAAATCATGGTCAATTAACTGCCCTTAAAGAGTCATTTCAGAGAACACACAGAAGGCACTGCACACAAGAGCACTCATCACTGCAAAAGTCCCACCTACTGTTCTCTCTTCTAAAGGGCTGTGTTGTAACCTTCAGAGTTTGCTCCTGGAGACTTCCTTCGGTTTGCCTTTTTGCTTCTGTCATAGGCTGGCACCTGAAAGCCCCAGGGACCTCCGGACTGACTTTCACTACTACTGCTACTACTACTACTACTACTACTGCCTAATTCTGATTCCTCTTCACTTTCTATGCCTCCTTCCATAGAAGCTGATTCTGCACTGCCCTCCTCAGGGACATCCTGAGTGTCAAGGTCTGCAGATTCTTCCACAGGGGCCAGGTCACTTTCTCCTCCTAGGTGTTCCTCCTCCTCTTCTACAGTGGGTTCTTCTTGCTCTTTGGGTGGCTCCTCTCTTCTACCTTTGACTTCCTTGACTTCCTCCACTACAGGCTTCCTTCTTGCAAGCACTATGTTTCTTCTAGCTTTTTCTCCTTCTGACTCTGTGGATTCGGATTCTTCTGATTCTTCAGTGGAACTCTCCTCCTCCTCAGAGGGCGTCTCAGACTCAGATTCTTCTTCTGTGGTCTCGGATTCACTGAACTCAGATTCTTCTTCACTGTACTCAGTGTAATCGCTGGAGGATTCCTCCTCTGATTCTACGGTGCTTTCTGTTGCTTCATCTTGGTCTAGAGTTAGTTTCAGATAATCTTTATCCTCTTCCTCCATGCGTCTTTGCCACTCTTCACCCTCAAGGTCAACGACGCCTCTTTTATCAGCTAGTCTTCTAACTTTCTTAAAGATCATGGGGAATATCCTGGCCCTCTTCCATGTTGGGTATGTGGGCTCCGCTGCAGGTGGCTTTTCAATAGTTACTACCACTTCCTCCTCCTCCTCACTAGGCTCTCTAATTTCAACTTTTGGTTTTGTAATTTTCTTTGGCTTTTCCTGAAAATTGTGAGAAGGCAATTGAAATGTCAGTATGAGAATAGCTATGGTATGATCTTGTTCCACGTCATGTAGAAAGTAGTAGGAAAGAATATGCAGGGAGATAACTTCACCCAAGCAAAATTTCAGAAAGCATCACAAAATTCTCTACCATGTATAGATAGAGGTAGATTAAGTGAGTATAAACTGTTTTACTTTTGGCTATCTAGAAAAATCTAGTGATATGTCACTTTTTTAATTCAAAGTTTTTTTGCATCTAGATCAAGAAAGAAATAGCCACTACCTCTTTCCTTTCTATCTCTAGATTTTGGCAGTAGCTTCTTGTGTCTTCCTTTAGGCTAAAGATATAAAGAGTCTTTTAAAGTCATGAAAATGCATTAGTTTATCTAAAAGTTTACATAAAAATTGGCTATTTTCTTAAATTTTGAACAGGTTAGGCCTACTGTGCCATTCATTTGTTATTATTGAGGGGGAGAGGATAAATCTGCCAAATTAACAGTGTAGGCAAAGAATTTGATAAAATTGGTTCATACTAGTTTATGCATGATTACATAATTTCCTCAGATATGTAGGTAGAAATAATTTATCCTTTTCCAATGATTGAAAGATGGAGACTATTTTTCATGATTTTTAGATATGTTAGGCAGTGTAGGTACAAAAGTAGCCATTGTGTTGTACATTTTTAAACATATTTGATTATATATTATGTTCATGGAACAATATTTACAATTTTAGGAAACAAAATTATTGTAGCTTTTTCCACATATTTAACACTTTATAGAAGGAAACAGATTAAACTATTAAAATTAATTCCCTCCATATATAAAGCAATAAAATGACCAGTAATGTTAAATTTCTGTGGAAAACAATTGGTAAATGAATAGGATTTTTTAAAGGTGGAAATAGTCTCTATACTGGTAGTCAAATAGAATTTAAAATGCTGTTCTTCAATATTATCCCACATAATGGAATTATGGTAATTTACCTCTTCCTCCTCATATTCCTCCTCAGCTTCACCAACCACCTCACCATATTCCTCCTGTCCAGCAGGTGGTAACAATCGACGTCGACTTCCATATTGAGGCATTTCATACCTGTAAAAGAAACTAAAAACCTTAAGTACTTTTTTCCTGTGATATATGTATAATCTACCATGAATGATCTCTGTTTTCTTCTTTTTCTTCACCATTCAATCTACAGATATTATATAGCATCTATTAGGCTCCTTTTAAATTAGCTACAAAACTATAGGATAAGAACTACTACCTGATGACCAAAGATTTTTGCCATAATGGTACCCTGGAATAACAATAAAGAGAGTTGAGTTATTTTAGATATAAGTTTTGAGAGAATAGAATGAGAACAAAAGGCATAATGCTCCTTAATGAAGTGAATAATGTAGAACACAAAATATGTTCCTTCTGAAAGTATAATAGCTGATTCAGAACATAAAGTCTACATATTCATACTGAAGGTTTTTTCAAACATGGTTGACAATGGATATACATTCTTCTGTTGCATTCCTTTAAGCAGTGAAGTGTACATGTGGAGAAATAACCTTTGAAATACTTGTTATTGGATTCTTAAGTATGTTTTCCACCTTCTAATCATTTTTGAGCAAAACTTTACCTAGACTGGTTTAAAAAATGTTAAGCATATCACATGAAGATAAAGGTGAATTTAGGAATTGAGCAAATATGTTTGACTTTTATTTCACATTTAAATAAATATGAATAATTTTAATACATTTCTAAAATTACAATATATGCCAAATAGAAAAATGCTTAAAACTTGATTGAAATTAAAGGTAGATTCATTACTCATTTTCCAAACATAAAACTAATGAAATGACTTTGAAATAATAAATGCTAGCAAAAAAAAAATCAATAAATGGCTTCCTATTATTTATAAATACTATATAAGATTCTGAATAAAGAAATCTGAAGATGTACCCATGCTCATAACTGTAATAATCTTGTCCATATTCCTGGCCAGGATCAATTCCAGACTCCATGGATAACTCCTATTGTTCAAAAAGAGAAATTGCATTTGAAAACAAATTCTTATCACAGTTCAGCTTGAAGTAAGATTTCCACACCTAGAATTTGATGATTCTGAAAATATTCCTGCCAAAATAACTATAATTAAAAGTGTTATTTAAACACATTCCTTTTTTGTTTGTTTTCTGGCCACAAGTACTCATAAAAAATAAGATTGTATAATTAGACTTTACTTAAAGGAAGAGGAAGTAACTTTTTCCTAATTAAAAATCTATTAATATTTTCAAATGAGTATATTCACTTATTCCTGAATGACTTTTAAAATTACAAATAGACAGTTAAACTTAACTGTATCTTCAATTACATTATTAATAGCCTTTGGAATTGACAAAAATTATAACATTTATAATTTATAAAATTATTTTATAATTTTATAAATTATAAAAATTATAACATTATTAGCATGTTTTCATCTTTCCACCAATGGTTTTCTACTATTCTCCCATTTATTTAAACTCTTTATCTAAAATTTTTTGATAATAATAATTTATACACTAATAAGAATCTGAGTTACTGTGTGATGTCTCCCAAGGATGTTTACATTTTAAGGCACTTAATGCTACTTCTGGATTTAAGACTTTTTTTAAAATATTGTTTTACTTTGAGACAAGGTCTTGCTAAGTTGTCCAAGTAGGCCTCACTTTGACCTCCTCTTTTCTCAGCTTCCTGAATGGGAAGCTAGAATTGCAGGCATGCATTCTTACACCTGTCGAAGGCCTTCTTTAAATGAAGGGATCCTGTCAACATTTCTACTTCTAAACTCCAGATTATACTGATTTTTTTCAACTATGTTCTTATAAAAATATTTTTTTCCTGAGGAATATATATTAGAATAATTTTCAACAACAATTAAGTGTTAATGTAATTTCCTTATATTTGCTTTTTTAATTCTGTTTTGACATGTTAAGAAATGACTAATCAAATTAAATTTGCAATAGAATAAGAGGATGAAAAAGCATAGCTATCTACAGGAAAATGGGTTGATATTTACTTAAGATTATATACTATTCCTAAGAATTAATTTCCTTAATCCAAGTGTACTAATGAGACGGGAAAAAATTGCCCTTGTCTGATGCCACAAATACATCACTTAGGAAGTGTGGAAATTAATAGCCTGCAAGATAAGTACAGATAATGACTTTAATTTTTGCTAAGATTGGCCAAACTGATTTAAAAATATTGAATTATTTGCCCTCAACCCTTAGAGAATGCCACCAAAAATATGGGTTTTTATTTTCTCTTGAAAAGCAGAAAGAGGGCAGCACAAATACCATGTTTCTACATGTCAAAGATCTAGATGGTAGTATGGTAACCATATTCTCTCTTGGTTACTACATCATGCCCAACCATAGTATTCAACCACACTATGCTACAACTATACTCACTATACTCATTATCACCTTAAATCTGCCACCTGCCTTTGTTTTGCATCTAATAAACTGCATTCTCTGGTTCCTATAGTTATTTAAAGTTTGTGACTGTTCTGCTCTACTAATAATCTACATAACAACTTTACAGTTTACAAATACTTTGAACCAAATGCAGAGATATTCAATTATGATGTTAAAACTAGATCAGTTTGCCCATCAAAATTACAGAAATTACAAATAATAATAATAAGCAATACTGTGTGTTGGGAGGAACATGGTTGTTAACTGGGACCTTTATAGAATTCTAGAGAGATGATAAATTGGTAAAATCCTTAGGAAAATGTCAATAATAGTAAAATATATGTATCCATCTTTCAAATAAATTCAATTTATAATTATATACCCAAGAGTATTATGTACACTTGTGCACCAAAATGCATTATTCATGACAGCAAAAAATCAGAACCAATGCAAAAGCCCATGAGCTAAATACACCACAATACAGGTGAATCTCTCAAACAGAATGATCAGCAAAAGAAGTCACATACACATAAAAAACACTCATTATTCAGCTTGTATGTTCAAAAACAGACTAAGGTGTGTGCTACAAGCCAGTTGAGTGATTAGGAGAAGGAAAATCAGTATCTGGATGTCAACATAAAGGAGCTTCTGGAGATCTGGTAAAATGTGTTTGGGCATTCTTAATATGTAACCATATGAAAGGATTTGCACTTCTTTGTAGCTACAGGATTTATTCCAACAACAATAGCAACAAAAAATAAGAAGCAGGAAATGGGATTGGATTAAGAAAGAACAGTAAGAAATTAAAACAAAGTAATAGTGTAGATTTAAGTTGTTCAAACTAAAAAATTGAAAAAAGATAATGGTAACACAATGGTAAACTTACATTTTTGAGTCATCTAACAATGTAATACTTTCATTCTTTTAAAATGCACTAAGACTCGGAATCAATACATTTATACTTCTTGACCAATGTGTCTTTAATGTAATATACATAGATTAAGACTTTCAAGTGGTTTTAAAGTAGGATTTTAATAAATTCTGATAATAATATATGGACATGTTCTTTTTTCCTAGAGAGAGAGTAAGGCTCAGCTCTCCCTAACTACATTATATATCCAGCATCAATTACTTTGAAAGTGTAATAAAGCAGAGACAGGACTGGCATAGGTGCCCAGGAAACTCAGCAAGAGAGTCTTGACTCAGTCAGTCACTCTGCAGTGACTTAGCTGGAAAAAGAGGATAGAAATTAACAGAAAAGAGTGACTTGAACTATGCCTTTTGAATGCTTATACAGCTCATGAATGAAGAGTAGAGAAACATCACTTCAAAAAAAGAAACAGAGGGCTGTGTGCTGTGGTGCATTCTATTAACACCAGTGAGTCAGAAGGCTGAGGTAGGAGGATCCCAAGTACAAGCATAGACTGGGTAACTTAGCAAGACCCTGTCTTAAAATAAAAATTACAAAATACTAAAGAAGTAGTAGATGTAATAGCATTATCATGCCACTGGGTTTAATCCCTAGTACTGCAAAAACAAAAAGAAGGGGGAGGGGAAGTGAAGGGAAAGAGACAGAGAGAGGAAAAGAGAGGAAATTAAGAAACTGGGGAAGGACCTAGTGACTGGTAAGACCCCTGAATTGACCTAAAAATTCAATGGAATGCTCCTCCTCTTTATGTACCATGCAGTCTCTTTTAGCATCTCTTTAGTTGGGAAATACTGAATTTTAGAAAATCATGCAAAATAATGTACTAAAAAATGATTTTATGGGTAGATCAAACATTTAATTTTATTTTAAAAATTAATATTTGTTGCTGATCAGAGAATATAAAGTTTATTTGGATCTTATTATTATAAACATCTATGTAAACCAAAACAACTATTATAACTATCATTTATTGAATTTCATCCTGCTACATTCCAATTGCTTAACTAGATATCAATATATTGGACATTGCTACCAACATTTTTTAGAATATGAAATTGATGTTCAGGAGGATGCATATCTTGCAGGGGTTTTACAGTTAATAATTGGTGTTTAGACTTTAACCTTGAGTTTACTGATTCTATATTCTGGAAATTCTTCTCTTCATGTAAATTTTTGTTAAAAATCTTTAAAACCTGGATATCCCTGCCACCCAATCTCCAGATTATGATGACTAAATTCTAAGCAAGAAATGCCTCTCTTTAGAAAAGGTAGGATTCTGTTCTAAAGGAAAAAGACTAAAATGTTTATAAATGTAGCTTATAAAAAACTAAATTTATCACAAAGAAAAGTATTTTAAACTAGCACTACATTATTTTTAATTTTGGCACTATATAGACATGCTATTATACATAAATAATATGAAATTATTATATAAACTTGAAAATTTTTTTCACATTTCAGAAAAAAAAATATCACAGACACTGTGCAACACACATGTGCCCAAAGACAGTATTTTGAATCAGGACAAATGTTAGCATTCTTTCTTTGGATTTTGCCTAATTTAGGTCTGACTTCAAGCATGGATCTGTTGAATCTCTATATACTTAGGTAAACACTGATCAGATTCATGAATTGCTTCATTCAATAATGGCTTATTTTAAATTTTTTTTTCAGTTTTTTTTATAGACCTTTATTTATTTATATGTGCTGCTGACACTCAAACCCAGTGCCTCACTCATGCCATGCCAGGCAAGTATACTACCACTGAGCCCCAGCCCCAGCCAGATGGCTTATTTTTTTTTTTAAAGAGAGAGTGAGAGAGGAGAGAGAGAGAGAGAGAATTTTAGATATTTACGCATGCCAGGTGAGCACACTACCTCTTGAGCCACATCCCCAGCCCAGATGGCTTATTTTTAATAGAATATTATTTGCCTAATTTCTAGAGAATGATATTACACATATGGAATTTGAGTTATCAAATATGTTTAGCATTTCTCTGGAAATGTAGCTTTTCTCTCTCTTGTAAAATTATACCATACTGGCAGCCACCCACTCTGTCTACATGTAAGATGAACATAAAAGTACTAAAGTCACATAAATATATTGTGAAGATTTAGTAGGGTTGAAAAGAAAATGAAAATTGATACCTCTGGTTTAAGAAGAGAAGGCCTCAGTAGTTGTTGTTGCTGCCAAAGGAAATTAAAAGAAAAAGATTTAGAAAATAATTCAGATGGGAAAAGTAGGTTATGGTTGAGAAGAGAGGGGGAAAAAAGGCGACAGCTTAAAACTGGTTACTTTGGGATTATGGTTCATTATTTATGTGACAGCTATCAAAAACATTAAATAATATTTTGACTAATTCTCTATAATGGAACACTAAGTAATAAAGGATTCATTTGTTTAATTTCATAATTTTTTAATTAACACTAAATTTAATAACTGTAACAAAAAAAATCTAGAAAGATTTTTTAAGTTTCATAGCACAAAGAACCGTTTATGCTTCTAAGAGCACTTTAAACATGATATAATTATTTTTAACAAGTTTATATTTGTTTTAAATTGTCCCTCTTTTTTTCTCTCCAGTCATATTAAATATAATCAGATTCATTGGGAAGAACAGTAGAACACATAGAATGATACAGTTGTAGTGTATTTGAGATCATATTCAAGACATGATACCCATTCCTTCTACTTTTTATCAAAAGTCAATGGCGTTTTTATACAAAGCTTTTTGTGAATAGGGAAATCATTCACAAATGGTTAGTTTCATGATAATTTAGACTTTAATAGGATGAGACCAGGGCATAAAGTTTAAATTTAGGATTATCAACTCTTAGGGGCTCAATAATTATATCACACATCTTAAAGAAAGCACTGGAAAGGTGAGTAGAAGATTCTGGGAGATAATTCCATGAATGAAGCATCTGTTGGACATGCACAATAAAGTAAATATTTAATTGAAGATTGGACATCTTATAATACAACTGTTAGTGAGTTAGTATAGTTATGGCACTCATTTAAAGGTGAGGGAAGTTTTAGTTTGAGATGCTATAATCATGCCTGAAACCTGATATTCATACATGCATTCAACTTGATTTCTATATAATATAGGATTTGTGCATCCTAAAGTATAAGCCATTAAGGTCATATACTTATTTCTCTTGACTAAGAAGCCATATGTTAAATTTAACTAGGTTCTCAATAACTTCATTGTTAACATTATTTATAATATAGTGAGCCAAATGCTATGGATCAAAGTGCCAGGTATGTTCTCTGTAGACTGAGTCACAGTAATGCAGTAGAAAACTTAAATGTACTAACAATCAGAATTTAAAATAAATAAGTCAAACTCCATATAAAATAAATAAGTCAAACATCCAATAGAGGGATAAGAAAAAGTTTTAGATTGGTATAAGACCAAACATTAAGCAATCCCATAATTTATAAATTAGATTATAATATTAGAAAGATAAATTTAAGGGAGTATGACAATACTAAGTAACTGTAATTCAGGACAAATAAATTTATCCTTGAAAATGTAAGCAATTGATCTTTGTTTATCCATTGAACCATACTCTTAAAACCTCAAAGAAGAGAAGCAACATATATAAAAGAAAAGAAGTAGAAAAGTTTATTTGCATGCTTTGGTTGAATTGAAGAAGAAGAATCTTGCTTCAAAACAAGTATATTAGTCCTGCCTATTACACAAATAATCTCCCAGGAATCTTGATATAACACCATAAATCCCTTACCTCTGGTGCATAACCTCTCCTGAAAGGCAGAAATAAAGAAAGAAGAATTAAACACCCAGATTTTCAGATTAAATTATAGATAAGGGCCATTTAAAAGAATCTGAGTAAAATAGATAACTTTTACTAAACACTGCCTAAGTGGGAAATATATTTTGTGGCATGAACAAGAAAGGAAGACCAAAGTTTTATGCCTGAATTACTAAAAGCAGTTATCACCCCAAGTCCTCATTTTGTATGTACAACAGAATATACAAAAAGTATTTTATCTAAATAGTGTATAGCAACACACATTTATGACTCCGTTGTGATCATTTGGGATAATAATAATCCAATGTATCTCTGTTCTATATGACCCTTGATCTATATAAAAAAATATTCAGTGGGAAAAAGATGTGTTTTTTATATATGAAGAATATAGTGGGCACAAGATGAAAAATTATCTCCATAACTAGAGTTTCATCTTCCAAATGATGGCAAGGTATATATTTATATATTTGCATATGTCAACTTAGTTGTAAGAATAATGAATTCAAAATATTGACTACATTTTAAGGGTCAATTATATCATTAGCAATACAGTCAAAATGTTAAATATAATAGCCAAATGTTCACTAGTGCATAAATCTTAATAAAGTTCATGGACCACAAATTGGTGTAGTATTTGACCATACTTGAGAAAGAAAAAAGGGCACAGCATATTCAATGTGAATGTAAGTAATTATAAGAAACTTATATTTATTATAAATTGAATGATTAACCTAAAGTATTAAATTGATGCTGTTGAACATACTATATGAAATTAATATACTACTATAGTGAAGATTTATTAGGAATTCCAACCAAACAACCTTTGTAAATATTTTTTTAAAAACTCCAAGGTCGTCATCAGATTAAAGTCTATTTATCTGAAAGCATCTTAATTTTTTAACACACTGTTTGCTGAAACTGTTGGTGATAAATTTAATTTAATATATTATAAATACTACTTTTTTAAAGAGTTCTATAGTAAATTTTATAGAGTGCCTATATTTGTTTCTGCTAATATTGTGGGAATGATCATCCTTCTAATGCTTTTAAAAATTTAGACCTTTTAAACTTCCTTTCAATTTCTTTTAGAGAAAACTTAGAGAAAACTCATAGCTTGGTTTTAATAATGATAAACGAGCCATGTGAATCACACAAAAATACACAAACAAAAGTAACTGTTATTTTCTATATATTTCAATTTCTATTCATTATCAATGTTTTCCCTAAATAACAGACATAAAAAATACTGTTTTTATTAATCTTTTTGTTGCCTTTCAGGTAGTTATTTATATTGCTTGGTTTAGCTCAAAGGGAGAAATAAAATTGTTACAAAATAAAGTCAATGTTTATAATTCCCTGAATGTTTTCAAACCATAACTATTGATAATTATAAAATCAGTAATATAATATTGATGCATTTTAATTTTAGCATATATTCAATAATATGTATTTTAAATAAGATATCTAATAGCTCCTTATGTGTTAATTGGATCTCAACAAATATAGTATAAAAATATTCCCTTTCTAGAGACTGGTTGTCAGGTCGTAGAGATTAGGTTATTGAGTTTGTATACTCAAATAATATTTATAGGTCTCATATTACAGAAGATATTTTAACTGACATTTATGAGGAACTCAGAGAACTCCAAATGCAATGTGTCAATGAAAGACTATTAAGTATAAAACATGATATGTCAAGAGCTTTGTAATGTTTTGAACAACCAATAAAAAAAAATAATAAAAAAATAAAACTTGCCTAAAATCTAAAAAAAAAAACAGAATGAATGTTTCATTTGAAAACTATAAAATATTAAAGAATTTAGATTACACAAATATTAAAATATTATAGAAAAGGCAATATAACAATTTAATAATGCTTAGGTCCTTACACAAAAATATTATTTGAATTTGTTATAATATTTTGTTGGTCACTAGTTAGAAATTTCAATATCAAGGAATTCTAAGTTTCACAAAAAGTTATATAAATTAGCTTAAAAATACACACACTCACATTAAATGCTCACATAATTGTGAAAAATACCTTGTCAGAGTCCGCCAACTAGCACAAGTTCTCATGCATATGACCAGCTGCCAACAAAAACTCCAACTGAAGTTTTTCAGTGAAAGAGAGAAAAAAATCAGGTTCAAGAACCCCGAGCAAGAAATTACTCTTGTTTCGGATGAAAAGAATCTGAAGCAGATGAGCTAATGAAAATAATTAAACTTACAGATTTTTTTAAAAAATATAACCTTGTTAATTAGTAATGCCAGATCAAATTCTCAAAGAAATGTCAGATAATATCAGGGCTGAACAAATCTTTAAGATGGCAAAATGTAGGCCCCTCAAACTATGTGAATATATTTAATTAACTATCAAGCTTAACTTGAATGGAAGTTTCTGTTATTTCAAAGAAATGAGATAATCTATGATAACAATCATAGATTATTTGCAAAATTTCTGCTGTTTCTTGGAACATACATATAGAGCTAATTTACAAATGTACCTTTCTCTGGGCAGACATATCTTCTTAAATATTAAAATTCCAGAAATAAAAAAATAATTGTACTTCCATTCAAAAATAGGGATTTCCACTAGATGAAATTCATTCCACATGTTTTATGGGCAAAACAAAGCAATTACTTAATGGTCACATACTATACATTATATACACATATACAGACATGCATATATATCATTGTATATAATAATATGTATATGCATGTATAAATATGAAATTGGGCTAAAATATGCTCAGTGAAGAATTTAGGAAGATTTTCCTTAGTTTAACTAATATTTAGGAATTTAACAAGAATAGAGCTCTAAGATATTAACAACTATTTGAACTAAAGAAATTTATTTCCATAGTATAAATTTTTATCTTCTTGCTGAAAACAAGGAGCAAAAGGCCTTGATAAAACTGGTGATAGTTCACCAAATATAATACCTCTTGATTTTGTATTTAAATTTAATATTATTTCATTTATTAAACTGGACATAAATATTTTCTTTGAAGGAGAATCTTTAAAATTATAATTAAAGAGATGATATAATAATGTGACAGAGCAAAATTAAATAGCACTTTAAACACTTGTGGGAACAATGAAATGTCTTACAAAAGTCAACATCTCAAGATTTATTTGCATTATAAAGAAGAGAAGGGAATGCACAATGAGAAATAAATAAGACAGCAATTGAAAAAACTAAAAGATTTATCAAATTTATGAGCATACTAGTAAGACAAAAGCAAGCCAGAGTAAAGGATGTTGTTAAAAGAAAACAGATGACTACATATTATAGCACCTGGGGTTTATTTTGAAACACCTAAGCCTGTCATCCCCTACTTTTCTGAGTACATAGCATATTACTTTGGAAGTATTTCTTCCTACCAAATACATAGGCTTCAAGAGAACAAAACAAAAAAAGAAAAACAGAATATATGGTATGACTTTTAGCTTATTTTTAATAGGCTATCTTTTCCTGGAACATACATATGAAACAATGATCAAAAAGTAAAATGAAAGCATTGACATAATAAACAATCCTTTTTGTGAGGTTGGGTATCTAACTTTCATGCCCGTACCTCCCCATCAAAAACAGATTAAAATTACTTACTTTTCAAATAAATGTAGGACAAATAATGCTACTTTGTAGTTAAGAAAATTAAGGTAAATCTACTACATGAGTTAGTAGTGATGAAGTTAATAATCTTTTAAATTAAAACTATGGAAAAAAAACAGCATTGCATTGAGTTTGGGGTAAAACAGTAGAATCTTCTTTGATGTTCAAATTTGATGTTCAACTTGAAGTTATGATCAACAAAAGATTCACAGTTAAAATAGGAAAATCAACATTACAGTGCAGTAGATTGACTGTGCGATTGTTTTTCAATTCCCTCCACGGTATTGTTTGAATTCTCCTGGTTTTGTTCAGATGTGATTCCCATATTTGTTATCTCTGAAGTGCAAGAAGTTTGAAGTTTTGAGATGTTTGTGGGTGGACGGTTCTTTTGTATTTGACTGTACATGTTAGCTATTGATTTTTCAAGTTCTGCTAAGTTTTTAATATGTTTGAGGATGCCTTTTGGTTCTTTTTGAGGGTCTGTCTTACACACTGATTTTGATGTAGATAGGTGCATTGTAGCAGCTTTGATTTCCTTGGCAGGAGTTATATATGTAGTGCATTTAATATCTGGTATACAAACACCCTCTGTGGATAGAGCTGAAGCTGAAGGAGGCCGTGGGCATGGAAGAGGAGGAGGTGGTGGAGGTAGAGGAGGAAAGGGAGGTAGAGAAAAAGAAGCAGGGGGAAAAACAGTAGGAACAGAACGAGGAAGAGGTGGAAGAGGAGGAGGACTACAAGGAGGAGGAGGAGGAGGAGGAGGAAAGGAAAAAGAAAAGGGAGTTAGGACAAGAGAAGGAGCAGGGGGAGGAGGAGGAGGAAGAGGTGGAGGAGAAGGAGGGGAAGGAGACAAGACAGAGATGTTACATGGATGGGGAAGATTTTCAAAAACGTTCCTTTTGGTTTCAATATCCAACATACACGGGGGTGTTTGTCTCTTAAAGACTGAAGAATTTGAAACGCAAGACCTTGCAGGAGAAAGTTCCAAAGAGCATTCAGTAGGAGAAGTGATAACATCAGACTCTGATTTGAGTTCCACACTTCTTGAAATAGTTGGCAAAGTGGAGAAAGAGAGGTGAGACCAAGAAGAAGAAAATGAAGAGTCTGAAGCTAGAGATTTCAATTGTTCGGTTTCTTTCATAGCCAGTGGTTCACCTTGCCTTATTTCTTCTCTCTTGGTCAGATATGTATCTTTGGTTGTAAACAATGGATTACTACTACCATTTTTGTTGGAGTAGCTTCCATTGCTTTTATTTTCAGCTTTTTGCCAGGTGTTCTGCCATTGCATCAGATCTATGGTTTCTGGTCTGTTTGGAACCTTCCGCATCAGTCTCCTAGGTAAGCTGACTGGCTGGTTCCACATCCTCTCAATCTTTTCTCTTGGGCCCCTCAGGGACTGACTCTTGACTTGTGTTCCCACTAAAAATGGGTCTTCAAAATCTGTTCTCAAGGAAATGTCTGAATGTGTTGATACTGGACCTATCTTTTCCTTATAAAGGGGGTTACAAGCACTTAAGCCGTCCTTATCGGATAGAAATGGGAAGTTTCTTGGAGACTTCTGTTGGTTGTTTTTAAGTGATCCATCTACATGAGCTGGCTTGTGAGCCTCAATGGTATTGGAAGAAAAGGGCATCACAACTTGCTGATTTGTCCTGTCTTCTGAGAGTGAGTTATTTCCCCTGCTTTGTTGAAAATGGTAGAGAAGGAAAAGACTTGAAAGAAAAGAAGATAATGAAATGTAAGGAAACAATTTGTGACAGCTTTCATGAGAAAGATGTTTTTATGGTTCTCATTACTACTTCAAAATATAAAATGCCAAACAACACTAATTTACTGAAGCAAAACATTACTTTCAAATTCCTATTCTCAAAAAGATAAGGCAGTAAAATCTTGAGAGTTGGGAGTAGCATTAAAAAAAATATTAAAAAAGATGTGTCAGTCTCTAGACTGCTTTTTTTCCCCCACCCCAGTTAGTTTGATACAGCAAAGTATCCAGCTCTTCACATAACAGTTCACTCATGTATAAATCACAATGCTCCAAATTAAAGACAAGCAACTTGGCCTTTGATTCTGTATCCTTGGCCTTGCTTGAGGATGCTCAGAGCTGACAGTAATGCATAAAAGATCCTTGGCTGTATCTGAATCAGTATATCTCCACTATCCTTCATCTCGATAATTCTGGCCTAGAGCTAAAAGTACTCTGATCTGTGAGAAATTTTGCAAAAGAATACAGAAAGGAATATTTTATTTTTCAGATTATGAGAATTAACAGTCCACAAACACAGAGGGAGACTTCTCACAAAATTCAAAATCACATTTGAATTTATGCTATAATCCTGAAGAGAGATGATCTTCCTGTTTAAATTTTAACTTAATTTTAAAACATTATAAATAATGCCAATTGGCCGAGGAGCTGCTGGTATTTCCTTCATTTAATTTTTAGAAAAGACTTCCCTTACTGAGAATATTTATATTAAAATTATATGGCTTTAATGTCATTGAAGATTTGCTCCTCTGTAAATGGTGAATCATAGATAGCTTTGAGATATAAACAAATTTGGAAAAGCCAAAGAACACAAATTAAGTGCCTTTATTGAAAGCTTGGGGACCTTCCTCCAGAAAGTTTGGGTAGTACAGTTTAAATTTGTCTCTAATTAGGGTTTACTCTCCAGTGCAAACAGGATACCAAATTTATTTTAGTAGTTGTTTAATATTTACATTCCATTAAAAATGGAAATAAAAGGGGGAATATTTTGAATAAGAACTAAATAGCCACATTGAAAAATCAGGGTAATAGTTTAGGCAATAAAATGATGTATAAAGCTAAAGTTGTTAACATGTCATGTGGCAAAAATACACAAGTTCTAAAAAGAATGCTACGTGATGGACCTAGAGTTTCAGCCCCATCTGAGTGATTCAGAAAGTGCTGACAATTTGGAATAATCTGACAGCCAACACTTTTATGTTTTCTGATATTGGAGAGACATTTTTAAAGTATGTAAAAATTCATTTAACTGCACATTACTTGGTCATTGCTTTTGTGGACATCTGGTCTTGATTTGCTCTCTCTTGGACAAAATGATGTAAATAATGATATCACATAATTTATAATTTAAGGGAATCTATAAATATTTTTGTATTCAATTAAAAACAAAGATAGCTTGAAAGCCAGGCTTGTCACTGCAAATATTGGTTTTAAGCTCCGGCATTTCAAGACACCAAAAGTAAATTGGATGTGGAAGATAATGTTTTCCTTTTAAAAGAAAATGATTCTGTGGTAAAAGATGAAGATCACTGTAGTTATAGTAAAATACCATTTAGTATATTCTAGCATATCTATTTTCTAATGCCCTTGTATTAGAATGATATTATTTACTTACTTATGCCTATGTATCCACAGGTGAGAAAGAGAAAACATGTGATAGAAAAAAGAAAGTTTTAACTATAGTTAATTTGAGATGATTATAAAAATACTAGCAGGAATTTCTTTAAACATTTAATACTTATATTCAAGAAAAAAATTCATGAGTTTTTAAATATTTTCTGTGTGTTTATTAAGAATGATATTTAATAATGTCCTAAATAAAATCACATGGTATATATTTGGATGTTTTATCACAAAAAATATATCCAGCAATGTATCTATTATATATATATAATATATTATATATATTATATATATATATAATTGGCCTGTATGAAACATGAATAATTATAATCCTAAAATAGAAATTTTAAATGAGACTACAAATTGCTATGCCTTAACTCTAACAAATAGATTAATGCACACTAATTTATAAAGAATATACATTTTGTTTGGGAAAAGTGAAGTACCATGATGTACCATAGAAGTACCATGATGACTATTATAGAACAAATTTTAAATTATGTGAAGTTATTGATTACTTATTGAAGACATTTACAAAATGAGTTGATATTTTTTATTCTTCAAAATGATTTCAAATAATTCACTTGGAGTCAGTTTATTTTATAGTACCCTATCATTAGAATTCCTATTAAAGTTTTTAAATAGATAAGTTAAACATTTCCTAAAGATAATTAAATACAAAGAACTTAAAATATTTTAACACATATAACTACAAAATATCTTACTAAATCTATTATAATTTTTCTAGTAAAAGTAGTTCACAAATGTGGCTTCTTGGAAATCACCATTTTGAAACTACTTTGAATTCAGATGCCTGTCTTTGTTAAAATTCTCACATACCATTCATTCTTATCATATAGAAACACACTTAACTTTACACATGCTGCTTTTTTTTTTCTTTCTAAAGTTGTTGCTGGCAGAGGTGGTTAAAGAGATTGAAGAAAATCAAATCATATTGGCTCAATTCCTACATTCACCAGTAGTTCAAAAAAAGACCCTCATTTTCAACTTATGAAAAACAGTGAAAACATGTAATTGAAGCAAATATCCCATATTGTATTATTATTTTAGAGATAGAATGTCACATATTAAACACAATTTTAAATTTAGTTTTAGTCAAAATAGCATTAATAACAATTTTAATATTACTGAAACTAGACAGAATCTAGTATAAAATTATAATATAGCAAACAAATAATAATACCTCTGCTTAAACCATTTTTCTAATTAACAGGTGAATTTCATTATTTTTAAGGCTTGCTTTACTCCTACTAGTAAATGCTACAAATATAGAGATATGTTTCAGTCCCTCTACTTAACCAAATTATAGTTAATAAAAGGGTTTCTGAATTTAATTTAGCTGTATTCAAACATTTATAAATATGTTTGGTAGTTTTATAGAACGTTACAAAGAATTACTCTTGAATCTTAAAAATATAAACAAGTTAAACATAACCAAAAAAATCAGATTATATGAATACAATCATTTGACAGATACAGCTTTTAAGTCTTTTAACACTAAGTTGTCTTTTTTAAAGATATGACTTAATACTGTTTGGAGATTCTAAGTAGTATAGGAGAAATATTGAGCAACCATAGCAATCTATCTATATTTCACCACACATTGTCATATTTTCTGCCAAAGTTTTTGCAAAAAGTGAGATGTGACTACTATGTGAAATTTTTAAGAAAGATTGTGCCAATATTACTTATAAAATCAATATTACTAAACAATGTTTGTTGCAAGATTAGGAAGCTCAGAATACTCTTGAACTTATGTTAATGTGGACTGGTGACCATTCTACAGTTACTCAATGAAATAGAAGTAAGAATAATATAATGAAAAGTATTTTCTGTATGTAGTTGGACATTTAATACATGGATACATTTTATGCAGATCTGAAGATCTTATATAATGGCACCAAATAGTGTCCTATAAAAGGCTATGATTTTAAACTATAGAATTTAGTTTCAATTACAAATTGGGGGTTTGGATTTGATCCCAAATAAGGAATGACTGTTTTAGGATTGTTTAATTTTTCATCTCATGTGTAAAAACTTTTTCCCCAGAATTTTTTAGGGGATGATGTCTGTATGACCGTGGCATCAGAGAGAGTCCATATAATATTAATGTCCTAGGAATACATTTATGATTGTTTTCTCAAGTACTACTTTTCTCTTAGATTTTTTTCTTTTGCTATTACTTTTAAACTTTGGTTCTGAACTTATTTTTTCTGTTTATATATAAAAATGAAATTTTATTTAATTTCAGTCCAATAGACTGAAAATGCATTTCTTCATCTGGGTTAGAATTAAACACACCACTCCGTATCCCACAAAACCCATTTACTTCCCAAAGTTTCTGAAAGGCTACTTACATTGCGCTGTCTCCAAGTTCTTCATAGAGATGTGCCCCTGGAGGTGGTGGGGGTGGTGGAGGCGCTGCCATTGGAGTGGGAGCTGGTGCTGCTGGCTTTGCTGCAGGTAGTGCAGACTGAATTCGTGCTGTCTTGGTGCATTCAGCTTGCCGTCTTGGATAAAGTAAGATTGTTTTGTAAAATTCTTTTTAGAAATCATATGCTTTTTAGCAAGCTATCTTAATAATGATGTTCAGTTATCAGAGGAGCCCACTTATAATATTTTACATAATTATTTGAATTCATAGAATGATACTGTGACAGAAGCATCCTCAGAAATATCACTGACTTATACCTGTCCTTCAGTTCTTTAAAATATTTGCTCCTTGAAGAAGGGGGAAAATTAATAGGAGTACTTGCAAGATAAATTAAGTAATAATTTTAAAGTTACAGCTAAAGGAAATAAGTTGTAGTATTGTATGATTGCATAGTAGGGTGACTATAGATAACACTAATGCAGTGTATATTTTGAAAAAGTAGAAAAAAAAGGATTTTTAATGTTTTTACACAAATAAACTCTATGTATTTGAAGATACAGATAAGCTTACCTTGAATTCAACATTACACAATATATGTATATATAAAAACAATAAATGGAACTCCATCAATGTGTACAATTTTATATGTCCATTAAAATTTTAAAAATAATTTTATAACTATATTGCATAATTAAAAGTTTAATGGATATCTTCATTAAATGAGGCATATAAAAGATATTTTTCCTTTATTTTCATCTATTTTGAGAAAAGTTATTTAAAAACTGTTCAAATACTTTTGACATTACTTCACAGGGGCTGTGAGGTGTGCACATACAGAAGGGAGATTTGGTTAGATGTTGTATTTTTTTTTTATTCTTAGGAATACTTGTGATTCTTGTGTTAGAGATGGATCTCTGTTTTTTTATTATTATGGGCACATATTGCTAAAGGGTACAAATGATTAGAACACTTTATTTCATATTTACTTCAGTTATATCCAATTCTAAAATCAGCTCAATTCCATATATATCAAACCAAAGAGTGCACAACTATTACAAATGCCAGTCAAATAATTAGTACATAGTTTTGAACAGGATGACCACTTGATCAACAGGATATATGGTTTCTATTTTTCTATTACATAAAATCATGTGCAAAATATCCATAATTATACTTACACTTTAAACCTGTTTAGGAAAGCAATGAGTAAGAAAAAAGAGAAAACCACATTAGAGATATTGTGCTCATAATATTTTAACATATAACTTATTCTAAATCATGAATAATTTACTGGTTAAACTCATAGTGACCGTTAACGATATAGTAGGGAGACTAAGGATTTCAATTCAAAAAATGAAAGTGGGAAGCACTTCATTATTACCATTATAGTTATAAAAGGGGCTAAAACATTCATTACAGGAAAATAAATAAATGAGCTAAATGGAATAGGAAAAACTGGATTAAAACACAGTGACATAAATTTCAATTCTAACAGAAATGAAAAATTGAAGATGATCTGGTCTTTCGAATTGACTTGTTGGTTCACTCAGCTTGAAGAAAATTAAAGGAATGAAGTGAGTCTTACAGGAAGCACTGATTACACTCTTGGCCTTACTTTGAAGCTGAAATTGGAAGGTAGAACTGCAGAGTATCAAATTCATTACAATTTTCATCATATTTGCTTTGTACTTTTTTATACCTAGCAAATTTCAAAGACACATCATAATATAAAAGAATAGCTAGCCATTTTAATCTTATTTACAGGCAAAATTTGAAGGTACAAACATTAGGTCTTTACATGTTAGAATTTTTCTTTGATATATGAGCAGAGCAAAACTCATTTTGTGTGATTCTGTTAATCTACAAAAAAAGTAATAACTGAAATAAATGTGTACTAAAAAGAAAATTAAATAATCATCTATAAAACATTTAAGTATAAGCATCTTAATTTTTTTTTAATTTCAGACTGCTGATAATATCACATGAATGCTTCAGTTTTGATCACTGTATTGCATGTCAAATATAAGAACTTTTCTCACTGATTTTCTTTCCTATCAGGATATAAAATTGCTCCTTTGGGAAACAGATGGATGAAAAAGGACAACTAACAATACAGAATAAACTTGAAAATTAATATTGGATTAGTGGATTAATAATCTAAAATAATTTTCCCAGTATCATTTGTTCAGATTTAGTATATCATACCTTCAGATTTAGTATATTGATTGACATATTAAGGAAACATTAAGCTCCAATATATCAACCTAAATATTATGTTGACAACTTCACATTGTTTTTGTGATGAAAATATTCCTCTAAAATCTTCATGTAGATCATAATTTTCCAACTTCAGGTTGAAATCACCTTACCATACTCAATTCAGAAGGAAGTTTTCAGTGTTTGAGAGTTTACTTTTTCAGTAAACATTTTACATAATTAATAACAGCTCTACTACTATTTCTTACTACTTGTTACATCAAGTAATTTATATAATTCATGATGTCTGTTATTTATTTTCTCTTTGTAGCACCCTCAGAGTTACCTAACTTCTTGACCAGCTTTCTATTTTTTTTTTCAGTAGAGATATATTTAAAATGTGTATGCATCAGTCACAAAGTTTCTGATACCTAATATCAAATCAAGGATATTGCTATTGTGCCTTAACTATATACATTTAAATAGTAATAATTACTTGATTATTTTGAAGGGTCAAATAACTTTTTAAGCACAGATATTATAAATGGAAGATTTTCACTGTAGGAAATGGAAAATTAAGGCTCTACTCAGTCAAAACATGTTACCAGCTATTATAAGACAGCTTAGATCAAGGAAGGAAGAAACCACATGGAGAATTACATGTGATATGCTATGATTTTATTATGATTTTGTTAACACTATCATCATCTGCATGGAGGTCAATTTAGCCATATGGATGAAAACCTATTATGGCAATATGTGAGGTTTCATACCTGTGTTTGGAACTTTGTAAAATGGGTATATGGATATAAGATTATATTGTTATATTCGCTAGGATACTTATGAGCTTCTCTCAGGAGAGATTTAATCCAAAGAATGAATAAAACCACAGGAAATAAACTAATCCTCCTACTGAAGGAGATTATATTAGGAGCACAGGGACCTTGAGCTGTACATGAGAAGCTTGTGGAAAGCTTGTAATGTTTTCCTTTTGAGGAAGGTGATTTGGTTCAAAAAAGATAAAGCAATCCCAGAATGGCTGAATTACCAATATTTTTCAACTACAAAGCCACATTACAAGAGATGATTTTCTATAGGTCTTCAAAGAACAATCCATGTTTAGTGTCCTTGAATACTTACTGTCTGTAGCTGACTAAGACCACCAAGATGGCAGGAATACAGCAGAGGATGATGATGAAGGCCAGAGCCAACAGAGCCCCTTCTGTGTATCCTAAACTTTCTCCTCGCTTTTTAATGCTGGTCACTGCCTCTGGAGTTCGGATCTGCAGAATGCGCCCTCCTTCCCCATAATATGGTTGAAAATCTTTATTGATATCAAGCAGCTTGCCATCCAAAAATCTTTATGATTAGATAAATAGTAAAATTAATGACACTAGAAAAGAAAGGGCCATTTTAAAATGAAATAATACTATGAAATATTTTATTATCTTTAATTTTAAAACAAACTGAGAGTGTTATGAATAATAAAGGTATTACACTGTGGAGGAGAATCAAGGAATGGAATAATTATCACTTAATGTATAAGAAGAATCAGCAATAAAGAAGAGTTAAGTATATATCTGTATAAATCAATGCTGTTAATGATAATGTCCCTTACTTTCAATATCACTAAACCTCCAACATCAAAATAATTGACATCATTAAGGTATTCAGATGGAATATAATATAATATTCCAAAGTAGACAGCACTGTTTAAAATTATATTCATTCATTTTCTCTTGTGTCTTCAAGATGATCTTGAAGACACACAATACTGATGGACTACAGCCCAGATTCTGACACCATTATGGAAATAAGTCTAAGACTCCAACCTAAATCTTGAGATTCACAATAAACGTTTTCTACCACATCATCTTAAATGCCAACATTCTCAAACCTCAAAGTGAAACAATGTTTTATAGGAAGAACATGAACAAATATTTTTTCTGCCTGGGAAAAA